TTTGAAAATAAATCAATTGAATGAGCAAAAATTTTCTCCAAAGTTGTAGTACTGATTTAACAGAGCAGTTTATTTTAATTATCTACTGGGTGATCATAATTAAAGCGTAAGTAATCACATCATAAACAACGATGTTTTTTTCAGTAACATTGCTGTTTATGGTGTGATTGTTTGTCCAATAGTTAAAACAACATTTGTATAGAATTTTAAAAAACAATAGTCATTTTTCCACAGCTCTCTGTGAAAATGACTATTGAGAAAATCTAACCAAATTTAGTACCTATATTGTCCTGAGTAAACAGTTTCAATTTTTTAAGAAAAAATTTTGCATCAAATTTTAGCCATTGGGGTGAAACTTGACGCAAAATGTGAAATTATTTTCCTAAAATTACCAATAGTCAAAGAACCTCTTTGTAAATTTTTAAGTGCTGAAATTCCTTAAGTGACAAACTGGCATTGCTGTTTCATTGACAGAAGAGTTTAACAACTAATGCATAATCATGCAAAGTAAGCACCACAACTGTTCACCCATCAAAGAATTCTGGAAAATGTTTTGTGACTCCTTTTACACTTGAAATTCATTAGAAAATGTAGATAATATGCACATTAAGAGGACAACAGCACCAAATTTCTTCCTAGCAACTAAATTTTGAAGTAAAATTTCTTTTTCAAATTAAAACTGCATACTTAACACAGTATGTACAAGGTCTGTTCAAAAAGTATCGGACCTTTGGTCGGCAAAAATAAATTTATTGATTTTGAGGTATGAAACCCTAATCCCCTTCAAAGTAGTCTCCTTGGTAATGTATACACTTCTCTCAGCGTTCCTGCCATTGCTGAAAGCACTGCTGGAACGCATTTTCTGGAATGGCCATCAGCCGGTCCGTCGCATTTCGCACGATGTCTTCTTTCGACTAAATTCGTGTTCCTTTTAGCGGCATTTTCAGCTTGGGAAATAGCCAAAAGTCACACGGAGCCATGTGGGGAGATTACGGAGCGTGACGAACCACAGGAGTGTTGTGTTTGGCGACGAAAGCCTGAATCAGATGCGCAGAATGGGCGGATGCGTTATCACGATGGAGCTGCCAAGTTTTGATCGACCACAGATCCGGTCGTTTGCGTCGCACTGTATCGGAAAGACGACGAAGGACCTCCTGGTAGTACTCCTTTGCGATGGTTTGGCCTTGTGGTGCGTACTCACGACACACCACCCCACGAGAGTCGAAAAAACTGTCAACATGACCTTTGATATTGCTGCGGACCTGCCGCGCTTTTTTTGGCCTCGAGGATCGTCCCCGAAAGCCTGCTGAATCTTGCGAATGGTTTACACTCGGGTATCGCCAAGGTTTTTGGCAAAATTTGATGTAATATCGCTGCTCACGTTGTTCAGTCATTTTCCAGCTTAGTGAAATCCGACGAGAGCGCACTACATGACCTCACTCATACGCCGATTGCCAACGACTGACGCTTTCTGCAGGCGGGAAAAAATTCAGGGCTGTGCATGACTGTCCCCTCCACAACTCCACCGAAGGAGGCCTCTCTCGCATCATTGGTTTACGCGGAAAAAAATAAGGTCCGATACTTTTTGAACAGACCTTGTATATAAAATTTAGTTGATATTTGTCCAACAGTTCTTTCTACAGATAGCTCTCAGCACCTGGATCACAAAGTACACTACATAATTTATTTAAAAATGAAACTGCTACATGTGGTGTGGTTACTATCTGTTAGACTTAATTATTGATCATTTAAAAAATCATTTAATGTTTTTTTCATTGGTACTTTTCTGTTAACAAGACACCAGCCAACATGGTAAGATTCAAGTTCTGAATGTTTTGCAACACCCCAGAATTTTTGACCCTTCATGAGATATTCACCTCCAAAGATCAGTTTTTAACATGTATCTATATACTGTCTATTCTACATACTTTGCATGTAGTTGTGTGCTTTGCTGTTCACTATTGCTGACACCTCAATGCCCAGGTGGTACCAAGTTGAGGTGGGGTAACCTCTACCTGGTATAGTTTTAGGGAGCAAGCCCCCACCCCCTAAAATTATATAACATCAAGTACTCTACAAACAATCAAGTGGGCTGATCAAAGCTGGCAGTCACATGGGCTAAATAGTTAAACAAGATAGACTTAGCAGAGCAACGTAGATGACAGTATAACACATCAGATAAAAGTTACAACTGACACCCCATTAACAGTAAAAAAAAACCTTTTCATTTAATTAAGTTTGCAATGCAATAATGTTCTTTTTCACTAATCCTGTGACTGTAGCAATCATTTTCTAAACTAAAGATAAAAAAAAAATGTTTAATAAGTTCTATAAGTCAAAACAAACAAACTAATTTAGGTATATTAAAAATAAAATTATTGAATCTCTTGGTGTAGAAAATACAGTATTATAAATGTAATTGTTAATGCCGAAATCATAAAATTAAACTTTACATAAATTAAATATGAAATTTCAATTCTGTGTTGATCATTTTCTTTTTTTTTTTTAATCAAAATGATGTTACAGAGAGGAAACGTAAAAAATTTTTCTATGTGAGCATCAAAAAGCTAATTAAACCACTATTTCTGATCATAATGCAAAACAACCCAAATCCTTTAATACATAACATTAACAAAAATCTGCTTTACTGCAGTTCATTTTTATAAGTTTTTCTCAAGTACTTTCAGGCAAACAAGCTCAACATCAGGAGACATAGTTAAATGAGCAGCTAAATCATCTAAGTTTGTTTTCTAACTTTTAACTGTTTAACTTAACTTAATTTTGTTTGCAAGCATAGATGACAGTGATCGTCTTTGTTTGAAAACAAAATTAGACAACTTAACTATCAAGCTGATTCACTTGTGTGTCTTCTGATGTTGGGCTTGATTGCCTGAAAGTGCTTGAAAATTAATATGAACCACAATAAAGCAAATTTTTGTTACTTTTATAATGATTCTGATAATTTCTTTATGGTGCAAAGTTTGAAAACCACTAATTTATTTGAAATATCAATAATATATATAATTTCATATGATTTAAATACATATGACTGTAGATGCATCTAGCTGAGTAAGAAAGAATGTTTAATTGGTTTGTCATCCAAATTGGTAAAATTGCAGCTCTGGGTGAGGTTGGGACCTTAAGAAAGTACCTTACCTAAAAAAAAAGTAAAAGAACCAATGATCTACATGTGACTCTTGGAAAAATACAGCCCACTAAATTTTACCATTAAGCACACAATGGGCTTAAAGAAGCACACAGCATGACTCCAATTGTGTCCCAGTAGTAGTCAATGTATTGTCATTTCTTGTATTTTATGAGCTTAAAGCTCATAAAATACAAGAAATGACAATACATTGCCATCTCTAGTAAAGTGGAAAACAGTCAATTTTCAACATTGTTTTGAGAAATAGTTCTGGATTTTTTCACTTTCAGCCTGTTAGGATTTGTTTTCAAAATCCTAATACTACATTTGCACACAATCCATGACTCACTTCGATCTCGATTTACCTACAATCTGGATTGTGACTGTCGCTAGTCGAACGTCGTACTGTTCGCACAGGCAGTCCGCTTGAGAAAAACCCGGCTATTACACACGATGATAAAACTGACATAACTACGCGGTAAGTCATGAACACCAACAAACAAAATGGAAGTTTTGGTTAGAAATAAATATAGTACTTTTTCTTGCCATATATCTAATAATAGACAGATGTCATTGTCTCTCCAAATACAGTATCTTTTTTATTTCTCTGTTGATAGCCCAACACATGTTCTGCAGCCATCTTGTATTTTCTTGTGAGCATGGGATTGTGGGATCTCTCTTATGACTGCATCTAGTTTCAAGAACTCTCGAGTCGATCGCAATTGAACCTCATTTCAGTCGAGATTGAAACGGTCGAGAGAGGTTGCACCAAGGCATTATCGCTGACCTTGTTCACAATCTAGATTGATATGCTCGGTGCAAACAGGGTATAACAGGCTGATTTTGGGGGCTATATCTTGTGAAGGGTCACATATAGGGTAAGATGAGAACTCTGAATGAGGGCGTCCCAGAATTATAGACTCCCTGTACAAGCAAATATACCTGTAAATGCAACCCTTTGCAAGATATTTGCCTCCAAAGGTCAGTTTTTACAGTGTACCAGTTTACTACCTATTCTCCATGCTCCGTATTGGTCAAGACAAGCTGTCATTCTGATGAGAAGCTTGGAACCACACATAAGTTGTTTTTGGTGCTCACTATTGCTCACACCTCAATGCACAGTGGTACTATGAGGATCATACCAGTAATCCCACAGGTATGGTCTGCAGTTCTATTAAGGTCATTTTGAGCTGCAATTTTACCTCTAGGGGCACTCAATTTCATTTCATAATAATTGTAAACCTAAGAACAATTATAAGAGACTGTTTCGATATCTTCAAACTGTCGATATGGAATATGATATACAGAAGAACATGGGAACTTGTACAATCTCTATGGAGAATGAAGGCACAATGTTGACATCCAAGACTGTGTCAATCCAATCCAATCCAATTCGCACAATAATCATATGTAGGGTGGCCACCCATCCTACTGTGGGAGGACATGTCCTACAATTAAACCTATTATCCTACGTCCTACCGCCTAATGGAAATATCCTACTTTCTACTTTGACTACGTCAATATCTGGTCACCCTAATCATATGTAAGCTGTATAAAATATCAAAATCTGAAAATTTCACGCAAACAAAAGCATTCTATTCAGAAATTATGAGATTAAATTAAATACGCAACTCACAAATTTATAAATAAATTTAAAAATTGGCGGTAGACGACAAACATCCAATTACTCCGTAATCCACTATTTACAACTAGATGGCGCTATATATGATAGTTTTATTTTCGTTTTTATTTATATACGAAATATTTTAAAAGTTAATATTTATTAATATAAATAATTACGAAATTAGAAATACTTAGAATCGACAAGTTATCGAAATATCTGATTTTTTTTTTTAATTTTGGAATTTGATCGCCTGAATAAGCATTACATAGACGCGATGAGGAAAGTAGATCGCTTATATTTGGTTTGTTTCCGTTTATATTGAGTTTAATTACTCGATTTAAAGCTTTATGTTTATCATTTCGGAGTTATAAAACTGTCTTGCGGATCGTTATGGATTCACAATCGTCAATTGATCACTCGTTGTATTATGGTGTGGCTCTGTTACCTGGCACTGTGTGTGTGGACGATGAGAAACCTCCACTGGTGTATGCTGATAAGAAAGAAGCGTTAAAAGCAGTTAAGAAGTATAAAGGAGCTCGTTTTAAAGCTTTCCCTACTAAAGATGAAGCTGTATCTTTTTCTAAATGTACAACTGATTGTTTATCTCCAGTTGCGAAACAACCGCATTCTCTACGACTTCCGGATCTCTTCTTTATGATTGAAAAATCTAGCCCATTTAAGGCACCTAAAAGTCAAGACATGGTCAAATTGAGAAAGGCTATAGAGAAAGGAGATGCTGATTTTTTCAAGCACACCGTCTGGTCGAATCCTAGATATCTGATTAGCAGCGGCGATACACCTTCCGTCCTTCAGGAAGGTTTCAGATATAACGCCCTTCACGTCGCCGCTAAAAGTAAGCAAGCCGCTATGTGTCGTTCGATTCTCTCTACCATCGAAGATCCAAAATTCATGCGTTTATTATACAATGATGACTCTGATATCGTGTGCCAGCAAAGAATCGACTTTATTACCGATCTGTATCTAAATATGCCCGATAAAGGATTGTGCGAGACACCTTTGCACTTTGCTTCGAAGTTCGGCTGCTTGGAGTGTGTACAAATTCTTTCATCTCATCCAAAATCTGATCTGAAGAGGAAGAATAAATACGGACAGACGGCTAAAGATATAATTTGTGATAGATGTCCAGATGCTAACTCTGAATTTAAAAAACAGATTGAATTGGTGTTTGAAGATCGCTGTTATGTTACTGTTTTAAGATCGGATGATAATTCATTTCAACCCATTATAAGTGAATTTTATTCTGCAGATAGTGAAAATGTTACAGATATGAACAGAAAGGGACTTGAATCGAGTAGTCCAAGAGATTCTTCTATGTCAGTGAAAGCAGTTGCAGGCCCTATGTCTCCAATTCAGGCAAAACATTTTTATAAAAAATGGAAAACGCCACCTAGGAATGATATGAAAAAATTGTATACAATAAGATTAAGTGATATGGAAAAAGGATTAGAAGTAGTTGGAAGAGAACTTGCAAAACAATATAAAGTATCTTGGAAAGAATATTGGTCATTTTTAGATTGTTGGTGTGATCTATCTTCTCCAGATGGTCTTCTCAAACTAGAAATGTACCTGAAGGATAAGTATGAAGAGATTCTTTCTGATATACAAAATGATAAAATTACAGAAACAAATTCTTCCTTAAATAGAAAAGATTTAAATCAGTCTTCTGTAAATTGTCCAGTTAGCCCAGTAAGCAATATATGTCTTATGTTAGATGAAATACACTTTAATAAAAATGAATTAATTAATAATTCTAATAATATTGGACATAAAACATCAAAATATGATGATTATCATTTGTCTGATATTTCAAAAGTTTTACAATTTGATGATAACTGTGATCAAGATCAGCCTGTAGAAAATGCTAAAGAAAAATCTTTAAATTGCTTTGATAATTTATGGAATTTATTTGTAGAAAATAATTCAAATTCTGATATTCAAGATCAGATACTTAATGAAAAAGATTCTGATTCTTCTGATAATATTGCAACAAAGTTTTTAATTCAGAAATTAACTGTAAAATTAGAAGAAATAATTTCATCTGAAGAGAATTTTTGTAGTTTGGCATTAAATAATGATTTTATGGATAGTGTACTTCCTCATGTACAATATTTACTTGAAACAATTTCCAAGCTTAACATGGATAAACAATTAAACAAAATGCAAGATAATATTGCAAGAACTATTGCTGAAAATCTTAAACAGCATTTAGTTTCTCATGAATTACAAATATTGGCTAAATTTATAAAAGATTATTTGTGTTATAATCAGGAATTATCATCATCTGAAGAAGAAAAGGAAAGTCATTATTCTCAAACAATTTATACTTATTTTAGTAAAAATCAATTATATTTTCATTTAAAATGTATTCTTAAATTAATATATAGTTATATTTCTATATGTAATATTAAACAAGATGGAAACGAAGAAATGTTCCAATGTAATTGGAATGGTTTGAACATAATCACAAAATGCACCGAAAATGAAAAATCAAAATCTGAAAGCATGAATATTTCTTATGCCGAAAGTGACTCTTCAGATGATGATTTTTATACCCCTCCAAGTTCATTTGGATCTCTAGAAGATTCAATAAGCAAGAAAATTCCGGAAGAGTTTAAGATTTTTATACACGGTCACTTTCCTTCAAAATTGGATGCCGACGTGTTAAGAGCAATAGGTAACGTTGAAATAGATCAAACACTCTATCCTTATACACATCACTGGAGAAGTCAAATCAGTGCTTTTCCTTCGGAAGAATCTGCCAGTTGGCCAAGTCCTATTGTATCGAATCACAAGAGAATGCATTTTTCTACATCGGACCAGTGGAATGCCTCTCTTTTATGGACGTCAACCCCGCGATACGAATCGGATTGTTTGAGTCCCATGGCAAATAACTATAACAAGCAATTAAAAAATGGAGTTCAGTCAAAATAATCTAAAAGACCACTTGTGTTTACATTATGTAAAATGTACTGTTAATTAAATATTTATGTATAAATTTATGATTTCATTTTGTTTATGGACGAGTTATTGATTGTGTGAATCGTTTCCATAAAAATAAATGTTAAAATTTTATATTTTAAAGAGATTTGTTTGTTAGAAAATGGGTGAACTTATACAGGAACGTGGATTGTAATAACTTATACAGGAATAATTTACTTTTGATTTGAAAATAAAAACATTTTTTTTACATCCAAACTTATTAATTAATTCAGAAATTTTAATTTATTATTTTAAAAAAAATATTTTTATAAAAATAAAAATTCGTTATCAAAAATATACGTCGAATTTTATTAAGAAAACGTTTATAACGAAGAATCTGATTGGTTAGTCGTAACGATATCGATACCGCCATCTAGTGACGAACCGGAAAAGGCTTAACACGAGAGACAGTGTCAGTAGTGTTTTAATAATTGTTAATACGCGATATTGTTTTAGAAAAGATTATCCATGCTTGTATGTTAAGGTGAGTATTGATGGTGCCTTTGCAATAATATAGAACAAGCAAGATGACTCAACCTGCCAAACAGAGAGCGGCGTTAAATGAAAAAGGAGATGGAATTCGTAAGGAAGAATGGCTTGATAATCTTGAAAACTTGCATATTCATAGATCCGACATGAACAGACTTATTATGAATTATTTAGTAACAGAAGGTTTTAAGGAAGCGGCAGAAAAGTTTAGAATAGAATCGGGTCTTCAACCATCGATCGAACTAGAAAGCTTAGACGAAAGGATCCAGATAAGAGATGCTATTGAAAATGGTCGTATCCAAGAGGCAATCGGTCTAGTCAATAAGTACCATCCCGAATTACTGGATAACGACAGGTATCTCTTCTTCCACCTACAACAGCAGCACCTGATCGAATTAATACGCGAACAGAACATAGAGGAAGCGTTGAAGTATGCTCAGGATCAGTTAGCAGAAAGGGGTGAAGAAAACCGAGAAATCCTTTCGGAATTGGAACGCACCCTGGCCCTGCTGGCCTTTGACGAGCCGGAGAAGTCCCCATTTGGAGAACTGCTTCGTCTGTCGCACAGGCAGAAGATCGCCAGCGAGGTCAACGCCGCCATACTCGATATGGAAAACCGAGAGTCCATCACACCGAAGTTGGCCATCCTGCTGAAGTTGTTACTGTGGGCGCAAGACGAACTAGATAAAAAGAAAATTAAATATCCGAAAATGGTCGACTTGGCTCACGGAGTCATTGAAGATCCCAAGTAAACTTTTTAAGAAGAAAGAAATGCATAAGTTTGTATTGGAATCTGTTTTGTGCTAGTATTGAGTAGTGTGTGTGTTTTTATGGAAATATTACTTTAATATGTGTATTTTGCTCCGGATATTTTTTCGACAGATGGATTTCTAACTCATTCTATTTCTAATGTGTGTAATAAATGCTTTGAACTAATGTATGACTTATGTAGCTAGTTAGGAAATTAATTTATGTACTACAAAAATTTTGTCCATTTTTAAAATATTTAAATAATAATACAGTAATACGAATATGTATAAGAAAAATATAATTGATAATTATGTAATAGTTTTCTGTTTATTAGTAATTAATTGGATTATTATTTCCATGAATAAGAAAAAATTCTTTTACTTGATAAATATTTAACTTAATTGAGTTTTATATGCATATGATCTTAATATTCTGGAATATAATTTATAAAATTTAGCATTTGAAATAAATTGACATTGCTCGTAATAAGAAAAAATATAACCTGTCTATTAGATTTTAAATTTTTATTAATATTTATTTTAAGAGTAAAGCCTCATCAAAGTATAAAATGTATTGAAATTTAAAAATGCTTAATATATTTATGCAATTTTGATTCTTGAATGTTTAATTTTAATTACATACACCAATTATAAATCACATTTGCTATATAAATTTTAATTTTATTTGTTAAGATCATAATTTACAAACTGATAATATTTTCTTCATACAGCCAAACTCCATTTATCTGGATCAAAAGGGACTCGACTCAATTAAGATTATTGAAAATCTGAATAAACCGAAATTAGTGGAATATTGAAATTAAAGTGTAAAACTCCATACTGAAAATACTGTTTAATGATAGTCAATCAATAAAGTTTATTTTCAAAAACAATAGGAACATAAAATTTACTCAGCACATAAACAGTACATAAAATTATCTTTGCAACCATGAGAGTAGTACGATATTAATACGTACCTATGTAGGTACATATTAATATTGTAAATCAGATCGGCAGTCTTATAGGGGCAGAATCAAAATTTAAAAAACCATTGAGGGTTCATATTTTAATTTTGAAAAAAAATCACAATGTTGTAATAAATAAACAAAATAATTGTTTTGAAATTTGTATTATTTATATAAAATGAAGGTTATACATGAATGTAACTAAAAATGAAAATTACAAGTATATTTGCACTTGCTTGACTATGGTTCTAGAGGGCACAACTGAAATCCACCATATTGCCAACCTCTGTTGTAGATATATATCAATGATCTCAAACATTGCAAAAAAAAATTTTTTCCTCACAAAATGTAAAAATTCAGAAAAAAAATGGCTATTCAAACCAATCTGGGTAAATGGTTTGGATATAAATATATAAAATAATGCCTTGATAAAAAATAAAGAAAATAATCTTTCAAATAGTTTCTACAGCTCCATTTACATAATTGGTTCCATGAAAACAGCATGTAAATGGAACTGTAGAAAGCTGCTTAAAATAGGGATCATATTCTCAAATACTGTATTTTACTCTCATTGGAGTAGAAAAGTTTTTTTAAGTATGCATCTTTATAGAGGTTACTGATGGTAGTTACATTAAAAAGTTTTTTTAAAAATTTCTTTCCATAAAGTTGATTATTTAAAATATTTTTCAACTACATTACAGTGAATTTGTATAAATGGAGGGATTATGGTTTCATATATTTGATATATAAAGAGATCATAAAGTTATTCAGTAGCATTAATCAACTATAATAATTATTAGATATTACGTAGTAATTCAGATTTGAAATATCTGGACTTTGTTGACAAAGTTAGAAAATAAAATGTTTATGAAAACAAAGAATTAAATGCAGATGAAAAATATCTTGGAAATCAAAATTTTTCGATATAAATATAATAAGAGGATTTAATTAAGATTTTTGAAATAGGAAATTTCAAAAAATGAAAAAGCCTTTTATTTTGTTGTAAAAATCTGACAGCAGTTGGATTGAGTAATCATACATTTATTCATTAAATTGAAAATACTCCTACTCCATCTCTCACCAATTTGTTCATCTTATATTTAGACTGCAACCTATTTCATCAGTTTTGAAGTGTATGAAAACTTAAAATGTAATTATTTGAAAACAGTAATTTAATGAATGTCTTAATAACTATATATTGTCTTATTTTCTTAATCTATTAAATATATTGCATATGTTTATTTTACTTTATAGTTCTCAATTTATAAGATACACATCAAACATATATAAATTTAATCAGAATTTTTATTTCTGATTAAGAATTTAAGAAATTTCATGTTAAAAGTTTAAGAAACCATTATTTATCTAAAGGTTTGAATTATTTATCCCAATACTGTATATTTAAAAGGTGTGTTCTCTTAATTAAGTTTTTAACTAATATACATATTTTAAAAGAACTTTTCAGTCCCGAAAGTAAAGAATTTTAGCCAAAAATCAAATAAAAGTTATAATAATGATAAAAAATTGCTAATGAGTATAGTATCTAAAACTATACATTACATATTTAACATTTTTATTTTTGTGTTTGAGGAAAAATGTTAAAGCATCTTTTTTTTAACATCAAAGTAAATAATTTTTATCATTTAAAGAAAAAGAATTTGTTCTGAATCACATTCAAATAAACTTTTTATGTAGATTTTCAGAATTAAATATTTTCAATGAGGAGAATAATTGTTAAATATAGATATTAACAACTAAATTATAAAGCTTTTGGTATTAGATAGAAAAAAATGTTTCACAAGACTCTCAATTGTTTATTGTCTAAACCAGGCCAATTTTGTGTAAAAATTGTTAAATTTTAAAATTAATAATTTAATAATTTTTAAATTATTTGTATAGTAACCTATAAATTAGTTACATTTTCATTAGAAGACCTACAAAATGATTTTATTTAAAATTTTATTATGAGGATTAATTAATTAAAAGCAGAAATCCAGGACTGTTCCAGACAAACTGGAGATTTTATCATCCTATCTGTAATTATAAACATCAATTTTAAACCAATCTTGTTTCTGTTAATCAATTTATATATATAGTTATTATCTATAAGAGATTCCTTGACTACCATAAAGAATCTAAATTTGAATCTTTTCTAAATTCTTTAAGATTAAAGATTAGTTTGGATAAGGAAATTTTTGACCTTAAATTAAAATTTTTTATTTTCATCTTTTGCCTATTTAGACAAACTTGCTTAAAATTATATTAATCTGTTTTGCACAAAAATTGAAGCTTATTGCAAATATAACTTGCACAAATTAAGATTTTTCTGACCTTATTAGATGTAAAGTCTAATTGTTAAAGACTCATTTTGAAAACTGTAAATTCATAAAAGTTCAAATTTTCAATATGATCAAGTTATATGAGTGAAAATATATTAAAGTATTTTTTAGTTCTGTAATGTTTAAAACAATCTGAATATAAATTCAATTGGAATAATAATTGATTTATCACGTAGCATAAAATAGATAAACATTTTCCAACTGGAAGGAGTTGAAAAATATGCAGTGTTGCAATGCACCAGAAGTTGGTTCTGTGTCTCTTGTAAGAGAGATATAATGAAAACTATGCAGATTTATTATTATTCAGGGTGATCCAAAACTTAGTTAACTCAGAATATCATTAGACTTATGTTTTGATAATAGTTTTAAATAAAAAAAAATTGTAGAAATACAAAAGATTTCATTTTAAATAATTTTTATAAACTCTGTATGTAAAGATGATGATAAAGTTGTCTAGAATGGTTAATTGATTTTTGGGTCATCCTGTATAAATAGCAGAGAAGCTGGTTTGCATTTAATAATTATATTATATTTTTTGTTGATTTTATATAAAATCTTGAACTAAATTTTTTAATTTCAACTTCATAATAGATAATTTTACATGAATATTAATATTCTTGGCTAAAGCAGTTAAGATGGTTAAAGTTTGAGATCATTTCTTTGATACATCATATTGCAATATTTCAAGAAAAATCCAAATTATCAAATATATTCTATAGATCTGAATTTATTTTAAAATTTATTGTAACTTATTTGCTGTCTTTTGAGCATTTTTATTTAAAACATATTGCAATTCTTAAAATAGTAAAGTACAATGTTTAGATTCATTGTTTAAAAGCAATGGTTCTCAGTGTGTGGTCTGCAGATTGATCCAGTAATTTTTTCTAAAACCCTGTTTAACCAAGAGGAACATTTTTATGCACCATTTACCTTTTATGTTAGGTTACTGGATGAACAAAATATTTTGGCAAGCATTTAAAATGATTTTTACAGAATAAGAAGTAAATGGGAGCATAAGATGGTGCAGTTCATTCATGACAGTTTAGTCTGTGAACCATATAACTTTTTAGAATGATCATTTTAAAGAATAATTATGTATTTATTTAAGTAAAAATTTTATTTAGAATTCTGTTTTGATAAGATAAATTTCACCAAAATAACTTTAAAACAAGCTTTTGTGTGTTCATGTAGAAATATTAGAAACGGACCTACATAAAGGTGAAAATTGGTAAAATCTAGGTCTTTAAATTTGGTAGTATATTTTAGTAGTTAAATCATCAAATTGGTAATTATTGAAAATCTAATCATGTATCTATTACCAGTGGTGCACTCAAGATTTAGTCTTGGGGAGCTGAATTGAATGGATAAAAAAATTCTTAATGCAAATTCAATAAAATTCCCAACTTACATGACCACTAATTCATTAGTATAGAAATAGAACACACAACACAATATAAATAAATTTTAATTAGGAAAATATTTTTGGAAAACTTACTAGTGTTTCTTTTCCTTTTACTCTGGGGTCCCACGGCTCCTTAGCCCACCCCCTGGGTGCACCACTGTCTGTTACAACTGCAGAACTAGCAGTTTGAAAGTTAAAATTAGTGAAGAACTATCTCTAATCAGTAATGTGACAAGACAATTTCTTCACTTTCAACTTTATCCATTGAAAGAGATATTGCTGTAGAACTGAACTTTTCCTCTTGATGAATTCAGTACTATTAAAAGTAAGTGTGCAGTTTTGTAGATGAATTTCTGTACATCTATTTCATTTTCCAATTCATTGTAAAACTAATTTATGCATTTTTATTATTTTATTATGTATTCAACAGTCTGTTTCCATACTTAAAATGTTAATATTATTGTAGATCTAATAAATCTATCCTCTATTTTCATCACTTTTTTAATCAACCTCAAAAATAAATTTTGCCTAGAGTTTCACATCTCTGAATATAATTATGCATTTTAGAAGATTCAGGAGAAAATATTAGAAAGGAGATTTTTGTGTAATGAAATAAACAATGTATAAAATTTTTATTGCTTTAACAATTACTTAAAATTATTAAATAAACTAGAACAACATAAAAATATAACAAAATTGAAAAGTAATGATGAAAATATTGAAACAAACATTATTTTAAAGAAATAATGAAGCTCCTGTTTGCAATAAAATATAGTAGAGGGTGAGATCACTCCTCACACTCCGAGTTAATTCTAATGATTTTCCATTCCAGGAATAAAAAAAA